TTACAGGCGTGAGCCACCGCACCCAGCCCAGGCTGTACATTCTTGTCCACCTCCTGCCAGGGTGCTTTGACTTCTGCTCTCGCCTCCCAGAGCCCGTTTAGCCTATTCTATCCGACCTCCCCCCCTACCCGTGTCCTGTCGTTGGGCCTCACCCTGGTGGCCCTGTCTTTGTCTTTTTCCAGACAGAGCCTCTCCTCTTTTCCCTAGCACTTCCCCTTGCTCTGCCAGTCCCCCACCCCCAGGCCCTCAGGCCTCCAGGCCCCCACAAGGGTCACTGGCCCCAGCTTCTGCCCCTATCCCCAGGCCCCTGGTTGGGTGGCCTGCTGTGTGCTGTGGAGGATGCAAAACCCACAGCCCAGCTGTGGGTCTGAGAACTCTAGCTCCTGGATGCTTATCTCATCTGGCCCCTGCCTGCCTCATGGGAAAAGCAACTCTGGGCTATGGGGCAGAGAGGGGATCGGGAGCACCGCAGCCTAGGCACAGATTCTTTAGGTTTGAGACACAGTGGAGCCCACTAAGGGGAAACACACACGGTAGATACGGCCTCAGCCTTTATTGTAGGGACTTACTTCACTGAAGGAGGGGTGGATTGTTATGGGGGGCGTGGAGTTAAGTGGTAAAATGGTAAGAAAGTCAACTCTGGTAGCACTGGGGTGAGGGGAATAATAGGGAGTGTTGGAAGGTGAGTCACTGGGACAAAGAGAGGGACAGAGGGAGGAAAGTACTCGGGGGAGGGGGCAGGGAGGGAGAGGTGAGGGCAGCAAAGGAGCCAAAGCCAGTGACTGAGGCCTGGGAGGAGGTGGGCTGGGGAGAAAAATGGACAGTGCTCTGGACTTCCTGGAGGAGCCCACTGCCCCAGACAGACCTCCTCACTTGCGGGCACCCAGTGCCAGGGCGATGATGAGGCCCAGAACCAGTAGAAACATGGCAACAGAGAGCAGCACTGTGATGACCACCATGCCCCCTGTTCGGGCCATTCCCAGCCCAATGGACTCCATATTTCTTCCTGTCAGAAGAGAGAGAGGGGAAGGACTTTGTGGGCAGGAGGGGCTCCTAGCCTGCCCAGGGCTCACATCCTAGCCCTCATCCAGCCATCCAACCAACCATCAACCAATCATCCAACCAACCAACCAACAACCATCCATCCATCCATCCATCCATCCATCCAAATATCCAACCACCTAACCATCCAAGCAACCAATGAGCCAACCAATCAACCATCCAACCATCCACTGATGGATCCAAACATCCATCAAGTAAATTTTATGAAGCATCTCCTATGTCAATCACTGAGGATACAGAGTTAACAGGGCACATCCCGACCCTCGAGGAGCCTTTAGTTTAGAAGTACAGCAGATGAGTCAGCAGGCAGTTGCCATGCCAAGGGCTCAGTGCTAGGACAGAGGTAAGCAAAGGTGCCAGGGGGCACAGGGAGGCACAGCTAACCCAGACTGGGGGATGAGGTGCAAGGGGTCAGGGAGGGTTTTGTGGACCCTGAGATGTGAAAGGGAGTGGGAGTGTTACTTACGAGGAAGAGTGGACATTGGGACCTCTCCGCTGGACTCAGTGGATGTCCCCTTCTTCACTAGGTAGGAAACGCTTTTGTGGTGGGGAAAGAGAGAGGAGAGGACCCTCAGTGAGTACATGGGACTTACAGGAAGAGGGCTCCAGCCCCGATACGTGCACTCCTCCAAGAGGGGTCCAGTTCTTACACCATTTAGCTGAGCCTCACTCTCTCCCCATGCTGACCATACCCCTGCCAGCTTCTCTTCCTGCATCCTCATCCCACGGGTGCCCCAGGCCTGGACTGGGTACCTACTAGTATTTGGTTCCTGGCACGAGGTTTGTCACCTGGTAGGCACCGAGCCGAGTGACTGTGAAGCCAGCCCCGCTGTCCACCACACTCACCAGCTCCCTGCGCCCTCGGCACGGAGGCACCACGAAGCTGGACTTGACCACTGGGTAGGAAATTGGGGGTGAAAGGCAGGGTCAAGTTTCTGGAGGGGCCAAGGAGAAGGGGCAGCTTCTCCTTGCCCCAGGAGAGGGGTCGACAGGAAGGCACGAATGGGGGAAGGGACACTGGGGATGTCCTGGGAAGAGGTCTCTGGGGACTTGGGGGATACTTCAGGAGGGGGTAGCAGACCTTTGCTGTCATTGGCCCTCCGCACCATCAGTGTGGCATTGCCTCCTGTAAGGTGACAGGGGGGCAAGGCAACTAGCAGGCTCTCCGTTAGCGCCGGGGACAGCAGACCAGAGAGGCTTGAGATGTTGAAGTCTGCTGGGAGGCCAAGAGGGGACTCAGGTGGGCATCAACCCCACTCCTGGCCATTGGATCCGGCCCCGCTCCCCTGGGGGTATTGCTAAGGATGCACTTTGCAGTCTGTGGGCAGAGCAGCCAGGCCTGTGCTTGTCTGACCACCAGGTGGCAGGCTTGGGCTGCAGAACGGCACACCCCACCAAGCAGCCCGAAGCCAGATCCTGGATGCCAGGAGCCGGGCAGCGCCCAACCTTACCCCTACCCCGCACCTTGGATTCTTGCCCACACCTCTCTGCCTCCTGGGTCTGGAATAGGACCAGGAGTGTGTCCTGGGCCCAGTGTCTGATGCCTGGTCAGTGCCATCACCAGCCCTGACTCCCAACTATCCAAACCAGCTCCTCTTTGAGAACCCTGGAAGGCACAGTGCCCCCTGCCCAGGTCCCCAAGCACCTCCCCACCCCTGCCAGAGATGGCAGAGACCTGCAGCTCCTGGGGCCAAGACAGCCAGCAGAATCAGGATCAAGGGCATGGTGTGGATCGGCAGCAGGGATGCCACGCTGGGCTGGGAGCTGGAGCAGGTGCTGGCAGGCCAGGGCTTCTGGAGGCAGGTGAGGCCCTGCCCCTGGGGTGGCTGATTTTGTCCTGGGGCTGGGAGGGGCTGGAGGGGAATCCAGTCCAACCTGCCTCTTGGGCCCTATAGCCTCAAAGGAGGGGGGCAGACAGGTTTTTCAGGATGGGGAGCTGGCCTTCAGGCCAGGAGGGGGACGCCCCAGCTGGATCCTCGTGGCTTAGCCAGCTGCACGGGCAGGGTAGCAAAGATGGTGGCAGAAATCACCCCTTCTTCCAAGACTCCCACGTGTAAGGCACAGTGTTCCTGTGTGCACATGCATCTGGAGCTTGGCCTGGAGGGGGCTGCTCTCCTAGGTGGTGGGGGTCTTCCCAGAAAGCTCCTGAAAGGGCCTTGGCTGGGTAAGAATGGGAGAGAAAGAGACTGGAGGTTCGGTTCTTAGTGTGGACTGAGGCCCAGGTACTGCCACTCTGGGAGAGGCAGGGGTGCCAGGGAGCATGCGGGGCTTCAGATTCCTCTGGAGGGTGGGGACAAGGAAGGACAGGGAAGACTTCCAGAGAGACCAGAGAGGTGGACACTGACCCAGTCCAACAGAGGTGGGGGTGATCACAGTCAGCCTCGGGCAGCAACCATTTGTTGAACTGAGCATGAAGACGAGCAAGAGACCTGGTTAAAGAACATGAAAAAAAGAAACGACTTTTCTAACTGCATCCCTCACCCCTAACTGCACCCCCCCACCCTGGGCTCCATTAGAGAGAAGTTGAAGAGTTCTGAGCAGAGGGGGAGGGGAGATGAGGAGTCAGTTCCTACTCTGGGCGCCGGGCAGGGACTCTGCGTGCTCCAACACACTTAGTGCTACAGCCGTCGTGGGTGGTAGATGTCATTGGCTCCCCTTCGTGGAAGTGGAAACTGAGACTCAGACAGAGTCACCTGTGGAAAGCAGAACGCTTCATCAGGGGAGGTTCTAGAACTCTACAGGGGCTGAGAGTTCCACAGAGACTGTTGCTGCACATCTCTTTGCTCCGTGAACCATTCTATCTCATCCCTCCCAGAGAAGGGCCAGGGTCCTGGCAGCAAAGTGAGGGAGGTTGTGTCCTTACCACCAGGGTGAGAAGGGTAGGCTCAAAGTTTGGGGTGTGAGTGGGGAATGACAATAAGGACAAAATTCATGGGCCCAAACAGAGGGTAGGAGGGTCTTAGGCCAGCGTGTCTCCAAATTTAATGTGCAAATTTAATCATCAGGGATCTTGTTAAGATGCAGTTTCTGATGCAGTGGGTCTGAGGTGAAGCCTGAAATTCTGCATTTCTAAGGCGCTTCCGGAACGCTGATGATGCTGGTCTGAGAGGCCCCCACCTGGAGCTGCTGGCTGCTCTGCACTGGTACCCTGCCCCCCACCACTGGATCCGCTTCCGTGGAGATGGGGCAGGTGTTTTTTCCCAGTCTGCCAGGACAGGCTGCCTTTGGGTGGAGAATTAGATTCTGTTTTTCCTGCACCTTGGCTTTTGTTCCCTTCTAGATCATATCCTACAAACTCAAAGAGGATCTTTTGCACATTAAGGAGAACTTGGGAGAGAGGGAACAGAATTAATGGTGGAATGCCAGGGCGAGGGCATCTTCCCGGAACTCCCCAAATCCCATCACCCATCCCACAGGATGTTTACACTTGGACTTGAGAGGCCTCTCTCCCCATCTCAGTCACCATCAGGAAGCAGAAAGGAGAGTTTATTGCAGGGTGGGTTGCACTGGGTCTACTCTTAAGCCCCCATCCCTATCTGAAATTGTGAGAGGGACAGAGTAGGGAAGAGGAGGGCAAATCTCTGATCAGATTTTAAAGGGATAAGAGGTCCCTGTGCCTTTAAGCCCTCCTTTCTCCTTCCAATCCCCCCCACCTTCCCACCCCGGCCCTCCCCAGGTTTCTGGAGGAGCAGAGAGTTGCGTCTTCTCCCTGCCCTGCCGAGCTGCTCACTGGCTGCTCTGGAGGCTGTGCTTTGCGGTCTCCATGGAAACCATTAGTTGCTAAGCAACTGGAGCATCATCTGTGCTGAGCTCTCGCATCTAATTATCCCATCACAGCGCAGAGAAGGGTTTGGGGAACTGAGAGGAGGGGGAGGCCAAGCGCAGGAGCAAGAGGATAACTCTTTTAGCAGAGCAGATTCATTGACAATGCTGAAGTCATTTAAAGCCACAGCACCCCGTTCCTCTGGAGGATTTCCCAGTGGCTCGGAGTAAGGGAACCAGGGCTACATATGCCTAGAGTCTCTCTGTTGGACTCACTCTTTCTAGGCTGTCTCCTTGGATTCCTAATTCTAAACTTTCTCAAGTTCCCTCCCCTGTCTCCTTTCTTCCAAATTTCCTATTCAAGCCAACAGACATTTATTGAGTACCAAGTATGTCCTTAGAATTGTACGAGGCACCAAGGATGCAAAGGTAAGATAAGTTTTTGCTCTCAAGGAACTCCTAATAGCTCTATCCTGCCCAGCCTAGAAGACTGTTTCCTAAAACAAAACTCCTCTTTCCGGACTATTGTACTTCTTAAAATTTCCCTTGAACTATGGTAGTTCTGCACCCAGAAGACCTGTGATCAGAACCCAGGTCTGTCTGACATGCCCATGGTTCTCTTTCCACAATGCCACTCTTCTGCCTCCCAGTCAATCAGAAAAACATGTCCACTTGGCTCCATGGGCACATCAGCCACTGATGGCAACTATTGTCCTTCCGTTGATAAGATGCCATATGACTTTAGGTAGATCACTTTTTTTTTTTGAGACAGAGTCTGACTTTGTCACCCTGGTTAGAGTGCAGTGGCATGATCATAGCTCACCGCAACCTTGAGCTCCTGGGCTTAACTGATCTTCCTGCCTCAGTCTGCTGAGCAGCTGGGAGTACAGACATGAGCCACCACGCCTGTCTAATTTTTTCTATTTTTAGTAGAGATGGGGTCTTGCTCTTGCTGAGGCTGGTCTCCTGATCTCAAAAGATCCTCCCTCCTTGGCGTCCCAGAGTGCTAGGATTACAGGCATGAGCTACCTTGCCTGGCCAGGTAGATCACTTTGAACCTCAATGTTCTCACCTTTAAAATGGAAACACTCATTCCTTTCTTACTCAGAAGAACTAGCAAGATATGACAGGTGTAAAAATGCTTTAAAATAAAGGTGCGGAAGAGATGCTGGAGATCATTGTTACAATCTGTGGGGGTGGGGGCGGGGAACACTGGGGGTTTGGATCTGGGGGTAAGATGCAGTGCTCACCAAATGTTGATCTGATGGGAAGTGGTGGAGCCTCTATCCTTGAGAGCTGAGCCTGGAAAAGCCTGTAAAAATTAGAAGATCCTTCTGAAACTGAGATGACCAAAACAAGAATTAGAAAATCCCAATCATTCAGGGTGGGAAGGGACCCGGATGCTCCTTTTCTAAAAATGCAGGCTATAAGATAACCACTTCCCCCAAATCTTCTTCCAGTTTTGTGACCTTGGTCAAGTTATCGGCTTGCTGTGAGCTGCAGTTTCCTCTTCTATAGAAAGGGTATAAAATCTGTCTCAATGGGATATTGTGACTATCACTCAAGCTAATTTATTTACAAGTGCCTGGCACAGTATATGGTTCAATAAATATTAATTTAAGTAATTCATCTTATCTTTCCTTTTTATTAACCCTTATTGCAGATGAAGACTAGAGGATCAGAGGCAATAAATGACTTTCCCAAGGTCACAGAGCAGATAGGGAATGAGGTGGGATATAATTCAGAATTTCTTTTTCCAGCCGTGTCATTGATGCAAGGGGAGAGGTTTGGGCAGGGAAAGGTGGTCCAAGGGGAAAGTGACTGAGATAATGGGTCTGCTGTTCCTGTGTGCTAAGCATGCCACAGGGGCACCAGGCACACAGGAACTGCCTGGTCATTCATTCATTCATTAAACATTTGTTGAACAACTCCTCTGTGGCAGGTACCCTGATAGGTGCTGAGATACAGAGATGACAAGACACAAATCCTGCTCTCAACTTGCTGAGTTTTGAAGAATGAACCACACTTAGCCTGATTCAAATAAGTGGAAGTGGATATTCAAAAAAGAGCAGGCAGCATATGAAAAGGCCCAGGGATGTGAATTATCCCTGGGAACTGAAACTGACACAGCTTGGCCAGGCGGAGTATTCAAAGATGGGCATGGTGAGAATTACAGCCACTGGCTGTGTGACCAGTGGCTTTGTATCCTATGCCAAGGGGCTTGGTTTTTACCCCGAAGAAAACAGAAGGCCTTGAGAAGTTTTGATTGTGTAAAGATCATTCTGGCAAGAGTGTGGAGAATGGGTTGGCAGCAGGTAAGACATAAAGCAGGGAGACCAGGTGAGAAGCAAAATGACCCCGGTGGAAAAGGATGTGGCCAGGCAGTCAGCATGGGAGTAGAGAGAGGCAGAAAGACTGCAGTGATTTTAAGGAAAGATTGACTGGAATCAGTGACTGATTGCAGAATAAGTTTAAGGAAGGAAGCATCAAGAATGACTTCCAGATTCATGGCTTGGCGCAGACTTGAAGGGAGGGGTGGAGGGAAGAAAGTTCACTTGTGGATCTGTTGAGTCTGAGCTATTATGACTGCCAGCCTCCAAGATGGCCCACAATGATCTCTGCTTCCTTATATCCATGACCTTATGTAGTCCCCTCCCACATCGTATCAGGGTTGGTCTGTGTGGCCAACAGAATACAGCAGACATGGTGATACATCACTTCTGAGGCTAGGTCATAAAAGGCAGTGTATCTTCCTCCCTGCTCTTCGTGGGTTGCTCTCTCTGGAGGACATAGGAGTTCCTCCATGGGGAAGTCCATGTGGCAAGGGACTGAGATCTCCTGCCAACAACCAGTGAGGAACTAAGACTTCCAGGAAATAGGTGTGTGAATGAGCAAGCTTGGAAACAGATCGTCCAGCCCCAGGCAAGCCTTCGGATGACTGCAGCCCAGGTGGACATCTTTACTGCAGCTTCATAAGACACTCTGAGCCGAAATCACCCAGCTAAGTCTCTCCCAGATTCCTGACTCTCAGAATAAA